TTATCAGCACAAATGCAACACACACACACACACACACACACACACACACACACACACACACACATACACATACACATACACATACACACACATATATATATATGTTCCCTTTATAAGTTCAAGATATCTCCTCCGATTTTTCTGCAAAATAGCACCCTGGTGAAATCAATCAGGCTGAGAGGAACTGGATCAATGTCACTTAAGGATTCTAGGGCTAAGGGACTAGAACCAGGGTTTCCCAATGTGGTTTGACACCATGTTGGTTCTCAGGGTCGCATCACAGCAGGTTCAAGTCAACCGCAGGACGCTGCCTTGCGGCTCTTGAATTTTAAACAAGAGTTTCCCACTTTGAAACCCCCCATCGCCTTCCCACCTTGACAATCCCATCCTAAAAGAAAAATCAATTTTCTGCTACAAAACAGTCAGCAGACATTTCTGCACCCCCTGCTGTCACTATGGAGAAAAATGAGCCAAAGTCCCAAAAAACAACCTGGACCTCAGCTAGGGGAGTAGGAGGTCCCAGCTATAATAACCTGAAACTCTTGTCTTATCCTTTTGACCAGAAAGGTCCATAGCCAATTCTTCGTGTTGTACAAATAACCTGAAAACATGCCATTTTTCCGGGCCTTGATGAATGAGCTTCGATTAACAGTCGCTGAAAGAAGAAAAAGCCACTAATGTGTTTTATACAGTCACTGATCAGTTCCTGACATGTCATATTTCACTGGTTTGAAGACATTAAGGAATGTTGTGTACCTAGGAGCAACAGCTTGCACAATGGCGCATCTATCATTACATGCGTCATAAAAAACAAGGAGGACATAAATTTGTTTCTGCCTGTTAAAGTCTAATTACCTGTAAAATCATTACGTGGCACTTCAGCAAATTGACACAATCAAATTAATGATGCTGGGTGCTCTCACCCCTCCCTCCGCACATGTCCCTTGCCCACTCATGCACCCTCGCAATGTGCCCACCGATAGAGATGGCATGATAGAATCATCGAATTAGAAAGAGACATCCGGGCCATCAGATATTATCTTCCTTGTTTAGTACAAGATTCCCAATTAAAACCTCCGTGACAAATTAGGGTGCTAGAGTATGAATACTCCAGGGAGATCCACTGTTCTCCTTGTTAATTGTGTCAACTCTCAAACCCTTCTTATCATTAGGAACTTTGCTTTAATGTTGTATCGGAATCTTCTTCCTTACAACTTAAGACCCACTAGTTTGAATCCCTCCCTTTCGGTTCAATAAAAGCTGTGACACTACTACTGTTACTTAAAATATGCTTCTTGTATTTCTCTCATTTTTCTCAAGGCTTTCTCCCAAATATCCTGTTTCCTCAGCTGCTGCTCCTAAGTTTCAGCTTCTGGTCCTCACCCTCCATGATTTTCTCTGCATTTATTCCCCATATCGCAGAGAAGAGCAACAAAGTTGATTAGGGGCCCGGAGGCTAAAATAATATGAAGGATGGTTGCGGGAATTGGGCAGGTCGGTGAACGGAAGTTCTATGGGGTGACGTGATACCAGCGTTCTAATATTTGAGGGGCTGCCACAAAGAGGAAGGGGGTCAAACTATTTCCCAAAGCACCAGAAGGCAAGACAAGAAGCAATGGATGGAAACTAAACTAGGAGGGAAGCAACCTAGAACTAAGGAGAGATTTCCCAGCGATTGAGAATCATTAACCAGTGCAAAAACAGTTTGCTTTCAGAAGTTGTAGGCGCTCCATCCCTGGAGGTTTTTTAAGAAGAGACTGGATAGGCACTTGAAGTGGTATAGGGTCACCTGCTTGAGCAGGCGGTTGAACTAGAAGACCTCCAACCGGTAAATACCACCTCTGACTGGCCCTGCCCTCATCTGTTCTCTGCCTGCCAAGTCCCAGCTGATTGGGAGGAAATGGAGATTTTGCAGTATCCTTCCCCTGCCATGCCCACCAAGCCGTGCCCACAGAACCGGTAGTAAAAAAATTAGAATCCCACCACTGGTGGGGAGAGCAGGAGCCTCATAACCAGATCATTCTACAACATTTAAAGTGTTCCCATTGGACTTCTTGTAGCTGAGCTGCAGTGGTGGGTTCCGGATACCATTGCAACCAGTATGTTGCAACCAGCACGCGCATGCATACTTACCACCCTCGACACTCCTCAATGGCTCCTCAACACTCCAGCTGCTTGGCGGAGCGTCATGCAGACGCCGTATGCTCCGTGCACATAAGCCCCGATCGGCTGGAATACAGGTAAGGAAGGGCAGGGGGGCAGATGGGCCTTCCGGAGTACCATACTGGAACGGTACCTGATGCTCCCAGCAGGCACTGGTACACCTGTATCGGGACATACCGGTCATATCCCACCACTGGTGAGCTGCCCCATTGTATCTGCAAGAAAAGGACAATGTTTTTTCCATGATGAAAAATGATCAGGGCAAGTCGATATTAGAATGAATTTCAGCTGTTACAAGCATGAGAAGGAAAAACTGTTGTGAATCATTGCGAAAGTGACAGGACCATGAGCAGCGTAAAGGGACTGTTGTCTTGCTGCCTGAACAATATTATTAGCTTTTTGACACTAAAGAGAGACCGCCGACTTTTTAATCTTCCTCCCTCGTTTGCATTGCTTACCAATGAGAAACTGTCAGATTAAATGATCAGATTCAAATGTCAGCCTCTCTCCCTTTGATTTTTCTTCCCTTCCTTTTCTTGGTGTGTGTGTGTGTGTGTGTGTGTTTTCTTTTGACCCCTAAAGTGAATTTACGGAAAACACTTCGTGCGCTTTTCTGATCTATTTTAAATAGAAATCGGCTAACGCAACCGAGCAGTTGATGAAGACAGAACTTCAAAAGCGGCTGTCATTTGAAACACCTTCTGATTGACAAAATATGCAGACGCTCTCACAAGAAAGCAATGTAGGAAGTGCTTGTTGAAAGAAAAATATTAACCAATTAGTCAAGCGGAAAAGTATAATGAGGGCCTATCATTTGTATGGAGCTTACCTTAACAATTTCAACAGTTTCTGATTGTAGCTACTAGGTTAACTAGCTTTAAATATTAAATAAACCACCTTTGGCTTGGGTTAACACAACACACTGTATCAAGGTGTTGGTCATTATCTTTAAAGCCCTACATGGCTCAGGACCAGCGTATTTGCGAGACCGCCTACTGCCGCATATCACCCTACGGCTGATAAGATCCCACAGGGTGGGCCTCCTTAGGACGCCATCAGCCGGACAGTGTCGTCTGGCGGGGCCTCGGAGGAGGGCCTTCTCTGTGGCTGCTCCGACTCTGTGGAATCCGCTACCCCCAGAGGTCCGGACCTC